CACATTAAAATTGTTACTGGGACTACTGCCTCTCTCTCTCCTCTGTATCTCTCTCTTTCGGCTGTCTCTCTCTCTCTCTCTCTCTCCTGTCTCTTCTATCTCTTTCTGATGTCTCTTCTCTCTCGGCTGTCTCTCCTCTCTCTCTCTCCGCTGTCTCTCCTCTCTCTCTGCGCTGTCTCTCTTCCTCTCTTGGCTGTCTCTCCTCTTTCTCTCTCCGCTGTCTCTCTCCCCTGTCTCTCTCTCTCTCTGCTGTCTCTTTTCTCTCCCTCCCTGCTGTCTCTCCTCACTCTCTCTGCTGTCTCCCTCTGCTGCCTCTCCTCTCTGCTGTCTATTCCCTCTCTCTCCTCTGGCTGTCTCTCCTCCTCTCTGGTTGTCTCTTATCTCTCAATCTCTCTCCTAGTTGTCTCTTCTCTCTCTCTCTCCCCTCTGGCTGTCTCTTCTCTCTCTCTCCGCTGTCTCTCCTCTCTCTCTCTCTCTCCTCTCTCTCTCCTCTCTCTCTCTCCGCTGTCTCTCTCACTCTCTCTCTCTCTCCCCTCTCTCTCTCCCCGCTGTCTCTCCTCTCTCTCTCTCTCTCTCTCTCCGCTGTCTCTCCTCTCTGTCTCTCTCTCCGCTGTCTCTCTTCCTCTCTTGGCTGTCTCTCTTCCTCTCTCAGCTGTCTCTCCTCTCTTACTCTCCGTTGTCTCTCCTCTCTCTCTCGGCTGTCTCTCTTCCTCTCTTGGCTGTCTCTCCTCTCTCTCTCTCCGCTGTCTCTCCTCTTTCTCTCTCCGCTGTCTCTCCTCTCTCTCGGCTGTCTCTCCTCTCTCATCTGTCTATCTCCCCTGTCTCTCACTCTCTGCTGTCTCTTTTCTCTCCCTCCCTGCTGTCTCTCCTCACTCTCTCTGCTGTCTCCCTCTGCTGCCTCTCCTCTCTCTCTGCTGTCTATTCCCTCTCTCTCCTCTGGCTGTCTCTCCTCTCTCTCTCCTCCTGGCTGTCTCTCCTCTCTCAATCTCCTGGGTGTCTCTTCTCTCTCTCTCCCCTCTGGCTGTCTCTTCTCTCTCTCTCTCCACTGTCTCTCCTCTCTCTCTCTCCGCTGTCTCTCCTCTCTCTCTCTCCGCTGTCTCTCCTCTCTCTCTCCGCTGTCTCTCTTCCTCTCTTGGCTGTCTCTCCTCTCTCTCTGCTGTCTCTCCTCTCTTACTCTCCGCGGTCTCTCCTCTCTTACTCTCCGCGGTCTCTCCTCTCTCTCTCTCCGCTGTCTCCTCTCTCTCTCCGCTGTCTCCTCTCTCTCTCCGCTGTCTCTCCTCTCTCCGCTGTCTCTCCTCTCTCTCTCCGCTGTCTCTTCTCTCTCTCTCGGCTGTCTCTCCTCTCTCTCTCTCGGCTGTCTCTCCTCTCTCTCTCTCCGCTCTCTCCTCTCTCTCTCTCCGCTGTCTCCGCTGTCTCTCCTCTCTCTCTCTCTCTCTCTCTCTCTCTCTCTCTCTCTCCCCTCTGTCTTTTTCCCCCTCTTTTCG